TAAAGAACTGGTGGGCATGACAATTATGAAACTAGGAGCTTTGTTAGGCCAAAGGACAGTGATTTTGTTTGTCCTCCAACGGAAAAAAAAAATGCATCAGAAATCGGCCGCTGGGTTGGAATGACTAGAAAGGAGGCAGGGGAGGAGGGGAGAGGGAGGTATAAACAATGTGTCAATTCACTGGAACAAGGATTTCTTTTCCAGTGACCTTGGTCAGCACTCATACCCGGAGAGGTAGACGGTAATTGACTTTGTTTAACCTACACGTTAAGTGCAACAGCGACCTTTTTAGTTGCATCTCTTCTTAAAGCGAGGAGTAGCTTTGGGACTCTCTGTGCGCCTTGTCTAAGCTCATTCATGCATTTCCTTTCTGTGGAGGGAAAGTCCTGGGGCGTCCCGCTCCCCACCCTCCCTGTGTGTCTGGTTTCTGTCGTGTTTCCTCTGTTTTTGCAGAAACAGTCCACCCTGGTGACGTGGTCAGCTGAGTCCACTTGAGTACATCCCACCTCATCAAGCGCCTTGCTCTTCTTTCCCCCTTAAGAAAATAGATTTCCTGCTGGCATGGCCAGTGGTTGAATGTCGACCAAAGAACCAGGAAGTCACGGTGTGGTTCTTGGGCAGGGCACATGCCTGGGTTATGGGCTCGATCCCAGTGTGGGGCGTGCTGGAGGCAGCCAATCCATGATTCTCTCTCATCATTGATGTTTTTCTCTGTCTTTCCTTCTCCCTTCCTCTCCTGTATTATAAAAAGGCTGGTGGTCTGGTCAAGGGCATATACCTGGGTTGTGGCTCCATCTCCAGTATGGGGTGTGCAGGAGGCAGCAGATCAATGATTCTCTCTCCTTATTGATGTTTCTCTCCCCATCCCCCTTCCTCTCTGAAATTAATAAAAATATTTTTTTTAAAAGAAAGAAAAAGAAGATTCTATGTCCCATGACATCTACGACTCCCACCCTGGCTCCTGCCCCCAGCATCTCCCTGGCTACTGTCTGAGCGGCAATTGGTCTTCCATTTTCCCCTCTGACCCCGCAGCCCACTGAGCATGGCAGCCGGGTCGCAGAACGAGGCTTGCTCAGTCATCCCGGTTGGTGGCTGTCAACGTCAGTCGTTCAGCCTCTTTGGAGAGGATTTAAGCGGCTCCAACAAAGCCCTGCGGCTGCTTCCCGGGCCGTTTGAAGGTGGAGGGACACAGAGGGGCGTCAGAAAGGACTGGCAGAAACTGCCCAGATCAGGAAAGGAAAATGTCATCCCCAGCGGAGACACAAAATAAAGCAGCCACTTTTATTTTTATAATGTGAGCGACTGTCTCGTACGTCGAGGAGTCACCGAGAGCCTGCTCCCCTCGGATTGCGAACTCCCCCGCAGTGGCCTCTGCCCTCCTCTGCCCTCCTCTGCCCTCCTCTGCGGGGGTATGGTGGGGTTTGGCGGGGTCTGGTTTCGGGGAAACAGGCTCCCAAACTTCTCACCCTGTGGTGGTGTGCTGCCCCGGTGAACTAAGAAAACCGATGCTCCTGCTTCGTTCTCAGAATGATCTCCAAACTCATGCTCGAGTAAAATAAGCTCGTTTCCTCGCCACTTCTGTTCACAAGGTAGATACGTAGATCCTCTTATCATGCAGAAGGCTCCTCTAAAGTATGCCCCAAAGCGCAGAAACCGGCACACCCTTTTATCTCAATGGATTATGAAGGCCTTTATGTCCCAATTTAATATAAAACATTCTGGAGGGACTCTTTTTGCCTCTTGGGACAGGCCTGCATTTGACCCTGAAACCCACTGAAAATGGCCGAAAAGCACATGAACCAAAGCGGAGTTTCGCTTGTGGGATGCCTGCCTTTGTCCCGCCTGATAGTGATCAGTCACCAGACCACGGGCGGTGGGGCCCGTCTGAGCGTCTTTGTCTGCGGAGCGCTTTCTGTGGGAGCGCTGGGCGGCTGCCGGCCCAGGGTCACGGCAGGGCTGCTCCGGCCCGGCTGCTGTTGGCTGCGTCCCCAGGTACTTTCAGGGCAAGGGCTGTTGTGAGAACCACCTGCCATCTGTCGGCGAAAATGTTTTGGATTCTAAATGATGAGTCACTCGTTTCTCCTGCTGTTCCTTCTGCTGCCGGGGCTAATTTGCCTCTTGGACGCCGTCGGGGGATAGACTGGCAGACCTTGCCGTGAAGCTTTGTCCTATGCAAGGTTCACGTCCCTCAGGAGCCGGCTTCCTAACACCATCGCTAGAAACTGTGGCAAGAGTGGCCTTTGCATTTCCACGAGATGAGGAGAGGTCATCGCGGCCATCCAGCCAAGCCTCACATGGATCCTCACATGGGAGAACACCCAAGCGGCCAACTTCAGAGTCTATGGGTGGTTCCACGTCTTCTTGCCTGTGGTCTCTTGCTAGGTGCCAATGGCCAGTCACCAAGAGTGGCCTAACCTGCCAGCACTGTTGCTTACATGAATGACTAGGGTCTGGGATGAAGGTGGGCAAGGCAGACCTACCCAGGGCCACCAAGAGGGGTGCCCTGGGCCCGGCTTAGCCCCTTAGGACACAGCCCCTAATGGGCAATGCCACACGCAGAGCAGGCAAGGACTCTGAAATCCTGAGATAGTCCGCTCTCACCAACCTCCAGGAGAGCGTGGGCCGATTTCTGGGAGAAACTCATAGATTGTCCATGCAGACCAGCTTCATGCTGTGATAGAACTGACAGCAAGAGCTTTGGGAGGGGGAGGAGACATCTGGGGGGGAGGAGGGGGGGCTGGGAATGAGGACTTGGAGCAGAGCCAAGTGCTTTACCAAGGAGAAAGCTGAAGCCAGGTTTACAAAACCCTCTGTCCATCAGAGTGTGGCACCCGGAGTCTCGGGCTAGAATGGAAGATGCGCTTGTCCATTGACTCAGTTTCACACAAATCTGTTTTATTGTCGGAATCATGATCGTTTGTCCAAAACAGAAGTGTATTAAGCTGGTTCAACTCTAGCATCATTCATCTACCTTAAAATATTTCCTGCCTTCCATATTTTCTCACCACCCCCAAAACCCTAAGCTAGATAGCAGCAGCAAAACCCTACGTGCGGAAGGCTCTGACAGCTTTGCGCATGCCCCGTTTCACGGAAGCCTTCTCAAGATTTCCTGCCTGGAGAAATTCCAGATGGGTGGCATCTTATTCTTACCACAGAGCAGGTGTGATTTCATGGGAAGCGGGAGGTCTTCCACTCCCCTCCCCCCAACCCCACTCCACCCTGCCCGCCTGCTAGATCAAAGGCACAGTTATGTACTGGAGCCCTGGGTGGGAGGGGAAACTCCTGGACCGCAGGCACCAGGCTCCAGCCACTGCTCGGTGATTGGGAGACCCGGCCAGTTGCACAGGCCGCCTCAGGCACTGCAGCCCCAGCTGACCTTGGAGCTGCCTAGAGGAGCTGCCGACCAGGCCCCGATGGTCTTAAGAAACGTTGCCACCTATTCTAGATTGTCCGGCGGCGTGGGGTGCGGTGAGGACAAGGCGAGCCTTCTTTGGAAGAAGTGATTAATGGCGCTGATCTCAGCGACTAAGTATCGATTTGCTGGAGGTCACGTTCCCAACCACATTTCTTATCAATGCCCGAGAAGCCCTTGCTGTGCAAGCAGCAACAATGACCTGCTTCTAGAACTCTTGCCTTTTGTGCGTGCATGTGAGTTCTCAGGGCTTCCTGGTGGGTGGCCAGGCTCGGGGGGGGGGGGGGAGGCAAGGTAGGGAGGGGGTGGTTGAGGGTTGGGAGCGGGGGACACGTTTCCCTACTCTGAGGAGTGATTTGGCCACAAAGGGGACCCAGATGAGACGTGGGAGTCTCGCTAAACTAGCAATGCCAGAGAACTTTGGCAAATCGTCCGTGTCACCACTCAGAGTTGGAAAAATAAGACTCTGTGGCTTTAACACAGCTACAGGCTAAGGCGGTCAGAAGTGCCTCATGCCAATCAGCCAGACACGGGGACACATGGTCTCTCGGCACAGGCACCACCTGTCACACGGAACCCAGGGGCCCACCCCCTTCGGGGGGTCCTAAGTCAGAGAACAGGGGCACCGCTGGAGCCTCTGTGTTTGGAGAAGGCAGGACACTGAAACTGGGGGGTAAAATAGGGCATCCACACCCCGATAAATGGGGGGCGGTTAGGACAAACCTTAGACTTGTAGGTTTATGCCATTACAAAACCAAAGGCTCATTACTGACTAAGAAAATCAGATCACACTGGCTTTTCCCAGTTTTGGAAGAATTCTGCACTCAGAGAGTAGCTGCCAAAAGATGTTAACCCTGGTCAGTCTTCGTTCCAAGGCAGCTACCGGCTCATCTACTGGCGATTTGCTTTCCAGCTCCCAGGCTGTTTAGACACAGTAGTGGGAGAGGGGTACTAGCAGAAGCCCCATTCTTTCCTCTGCAGCCGCCTCTCACACCGAAACCCCCAGGAGAGTCTGGCCACCGGAGCCCAGGGGAGGGGCTGCTTCCAACTCAGGGTCACCACCTGTTTCTGAAAATACTTTGCAAGAAAGACAAATGCCAGCTGGACATTTCCTGAACCCTGGTTATTTACCAGGCTAGAATCCTCTCTGGGAAGTGTTTAATCCTGCATCAAATACAGAAGGGCAAACTGGCAGAGAGAGAGAATTGAGAGAGAGAGAGAGAGAGAGAGAGAGAGAGAGAGAGAGAGAGAGAGAGAGATTATTGTAAAGGCGAGCAGGTGCTCCAAGAAGGTCCCAAACTGCTGGGAAGGAGAAGGCCTGTCCACGCTGTTGCAGGAACCACCCTGGTCACTGACCAGTTCACTCCAGGGGTGGAGAGAATCGAACAACCGGAGAGAATCCTCTTGGTGCACTTGGTGCAGGTGCAGATCTCACTGCTTAAAGGGAGACGCTGGGAAGACGAGAGTCCCAAGAATCACCGCTGTGTGAGGCTCACATGGCACTTGGAACCACCAGCCCGGGAGGCCCCGGCCCCTGAGCATGCTCCTTGCTCAGAGACCCCGGGACCCCGGCTGGGTGGCTGTGGACTCAGACCCTCCGCTCCCCGTCTTCCTGCGAGATGCCCAGCACCGACTTGTGAGGGATCCTGCACTCCTGCAGAGACTTGGTGAGGTCGGAGAAACGCCTCCTGGGCACCTCCATCGTTTCGATGCTGCAGTGGCGGTAGGTGGCCTTGTTCTTGTGCTCAGCCACGGCCACGATGGTCTGCAGGTCATCCGTGGGCCGGAAATGGCGAACGAACCTTCGGCCCGACGGGGACCTGACGGCAAGCAGCAGCCTTGGCTCTTGATCGGATGGCTCCTCCAGGTCTACGGGCCTGGAGGAGTTCTGTCTCCTGGATTGGACGGCGAGCTTCCTCTCCAGGAACTGAGCTGCAGCTCTGGAATCTTCTTGGCTGGTCTTCGTGGTGCTGGCCTCCTCCTGGTAAAGAGCCTGGAGGCTGCTCAGTTGCAGGGAGCTGGCCCTCGGAGCGATGGTTTCCACGCCCGCCTCCCCCAGGGTCTTCCTGTTGATGGAGGGAAGGACCGGGTACTTATTGAGGGAGGAGGAAGTGCCCATGGGCACCTGTTGCAGCAGCTCAGGGACCTCGTGGGGAGCACCCTGGTTCGGGGACCTGGGGGCACAGGCTCCTGGCTTCTGGCTGCTCGGGGACTCGCAGGGAATGACTGGAGGCGGAGAAAGTGGCCTGCGGTGAGAGCACACCCCCGCGTCCTGGGGTTGGTGTAGCCTCGGCCGAGTGCGGCCCTTGGCGGACTTGGGCCTTATGACGTGCATGCTCAGCGAGTCTGGCTGCCAGAGGAAGCGCTCGGCCTCTGTGCTGACCACCGTGCTGCATTCAGGGAGGGCTCTGTTCACAGGGGCTTCTGTGGCCATTGCTTCTCAAGACCCCTACGGGAGCAGGAGGAAGGAGAGGAGGCTGTGAGTTAAATGCCCTGGCACTTCTGGATCCACTCGCTCCCCAGTGCCAGAATAAGCCAACTGGCCACAAAGGAGAGGGGCACCAGCTGCAATTCATTCATTCACTAATTCATTCATTCATTCATTCATTCATTCAGGTATTGGACTATATCAGTGAACCAAAATCCTTGCAGCTTACATTGTTACAGTGAGAAAGGACAAGTGTTAAGCCTATACGTAAACAGATATTTTCAAAGAGTGATAACTGCAATGAAGAAGATAAAGTAGTTCATCACAGAGTGACTAGGGTGGGGACTAATTCTGATTCTTAATTGGGGGGACTGTTAAGCTGAGAGACCATGCTGAGAAGGAAAGGGCCATGTTACAACCTAGACCAGGGGTCGGCTACCTTTTTCCATCAGTTCTTCCGGCTTTGGGAGCCACACGCTCTCTGTCCCAGCTCCTCCACCCTGTCGTCGTAGCACAGAATCACCCACACACACACAACTATGTGAAGCTGTGGTACCAGGAGCTGCCTGTGCTCTAATGAGTGAATGTAGCCCTGTTAAGTCACCGCCCAGGAGAGCCAGGCTCAGCTTCACGCAAGAGCCGAGGGGCAGACCAGCCAACTTCCCCTGCACACTGTTAGAGGGCGTCCCCACACAGGGGACAGTGGTTAGCGCTGGTCCAGTATTCACTGTGGACGAGCCACCCTCTGTGACTCCCCACTGCCCTTTCTCCCTGAGTCCTTTTCCTCTTGACCCATCTGCCCATTGCCTTTTCTTCCTACCGTCTGGTCATCCAGTGCACTGTCCCTCCAACATCCCAACACTGTCAGCAGGGGCAGAGGGAGAGGAGGGGGCGGCCCCATTGCTGACCCGCTCAGGGGCCAGAACTCACAGGGGCATCCTCGGATTCTAGACCAGGGCCTAGCAAATCTCTTTCTGTACACGGGCAGATAGTAAACATTTCCAGACTGCCTGTCACAAGTACCCAGCTCCGCCCTTTTGGCGAGAAAGCTGGCACAAATGGTATGCAAATGAGTGGGTGTGGCTGTATTTAAATAAGCTTTCCTGTGGGGACACAGAAATTTGAATTTCAGATAGTTCTTGTGTGACACAGAATAGTATTCTTCTTTTGATTTCTTTTTCCCCCCAACCACCTAAAAGTCTAAAAGCTCTTCTTGGATCACGAGCTGCACAGAAACATAGCGGTGGGCCGGATCTGGCCCACAAGCCGTCATGAACTAACACTGTCCTAGACCAATGGCGAAGGGGACTCTGGGCCCGAGCTGGTCCTATAGACAGGGGAGCCAGAAAGGCGGAGCCACTGCCCCGGGGTCATGGCCAGCGAGCAGCCGAACCTGAAACAGAACCCAGGCCTGCGGCCACATTCTGTCTCTTGCTGTTAACGCTCCTGTCTCCCCAGCTACCTCGCAAACACTTAGAGGGCCTCCTATGTGTGTCTGGCACCTGGGGTGCTCAGGAGTGCCCACAAAAGCTCACAAGAGCGGGGTGCCTGCGCACGATGGGAGTTGTGAGCATTTCCCTGTGCTGGCCCACAACTGCCAAATCAGGTTTTCCCTTCCTTTTTTTTTTTTTTTTTTTAACATATTTTATTGAATTTTTACAGAGAGGAAGGGAAAGGAATAGAGACCTAGAAAAATCGATGAGAGAGAAACACCAACCAGCTGCCTCCTGCACACCCCCCCCACCGGGGATGTGCCTGCAACCAATGTACATGCCCTTGACCGAAATCGAACCTGGGACCCTTGAGACTGCAGACCGACGCTCTATCCACTGAGCCAAACCGGTTTAGGCAGGTTTTCCCTTCTTTCCTGGCCATCTTGGCGGCCCTTTCACTAGCACAGTCACAGCCACCTCCTCCTGCTGGTCTCCGGTCACTTCTTCCCAGGACACTGCTAGGTCTTGGGCTGCTGCCTCCCTCCGAATCCTGGCTACCACTGTGACTGCTGTTCTCTCCGCCACAGGCTGCCCAGCCCTCTAAAGGCCTGGCAACCTCCTGGTGCCTCGTGATCCCTGAGCAGCAGCACGTTTGGCTGCACAGGACACGTGCCCTGGAGTCCAAGACCTGGGTTCTATTTCAGGCTCTGTCTTGAGCTAGCGATGTGATCACAGGCAGTGGCTCCATCTTGCGAGTATGGCACTTTCCACATCGATGGAATGAGCTATTTGACCCTGAAGGCATCCTTTAAATGCCTCTGGGTCTGCCTCTTTATCTGAAACATGAAGCTAGTGACATGAAATAATGTAGATAAAGCCGTGATCACCGGGCTTGGTGCAAAGGGAAGATTTAATTAAATGATTAAGGGGTTTCTTTGCTGTTGGTTTTGTGCTTTTATTATTTTAGGCCCAATTGCCTTGCCTGCTGCTTCAGGGCTCTTCCCTGGAATGTAGTCATCTCTAACCAGCTGGGTCCATGGTCGGCAAACTGAGGCTCGCGAACCTCATGTGGCTCTTTGGCCCCTTGAGTGTGGCTCTTTCACAAAATACCACGACCTGGGCGAGTCTATGTTGAAGAAGTGGTGTTAGAAGAAGTTTAAGTTTAAAAAATGTGGCTCTCCAAAGAAATTTCCATTGTTGTCCTGTTGATATTTGGCTCTGTTGACTAATGAGTTTGCCAACCACTGAGCTGGGACTCGTGCCTGCCCCGCCCACTGCACAGAAATGCCAGGAGGTGGATTTCAGCAGGCTACCACCTATTGAAATTGCCTCACACATATGAGATCAATGTTTTCTAATAAATCCCTTTTCACTCTAAGCTCTAATCTTAAATACTTCAACTTCACTTACCCCATGCTACCTTCATCACGAAACCCTGAGCAACCAATATGTTCTGTGGGCGCTGCCACTGTGGCCTATTTTCAGAGAGTCTCCTCTTCCTCTCCATTCAAACCACAACCGGACAAAACATGCCATCCCTGCACTTTCCTGAAGTCCTACTCGGTGCAAAGTCTTGAGCAAAGCTACCCTCCCCCCACCTCTACTTAACAGCCTCTGTCTTTTCTCCATTCTGCTCACAGGCCCAGTCTTCCAAACACCCCCACTTCCCACTTCTCACTCGGCTTTCACACCCAATCTGGCGGCTGGGAGTTCAGGAGCCTTCTCCTTGGCATCAACACAGCCTGCCTGTCTCCATAATTTAACCTATTTTCTGATCAACTGCGAGGAATGTGTTGGGTTTTCTCCCCCTTTTAGTTCAGTTCTAACGTCTTTCACTTGTAATTAAGCAATTCTGCACTTTAACTCAGGGCAGCGCGAGGAGGTCATGATAGTCCAACTGCTCTGCCAAAGATAAGCTCAACAGGCACACTACGCCCCCTCTCTGCCCACCCTCCCCCTCGCGGGATGGCTATTAATTTGCCACAGCTTCCACGGAGTTATCACAAGCTTGGCTCCCGGCTCCCACACATGCCTAGGGAAGGCTTTACTGTCAGGGAGCTCGGTAACTTAGAAACCTCTTCCTTAACAACTTGGGCGAACAGAGTCATGCAGCCTCCCGGGCGCTCTGTTGCTGGATTATTTTTAACAGTAAAGCTGGAGTCTGTGCCTGCACTTTCTACACCTTCTGGCACCATATAATTATCCATGTTCAGGGGGTGTCATAGTCAAGACACGCTGGTCATAAGCTACCATGACTGCGAGCTATCTCAGAGCACAACCTCGGTGGTGACTAATTCCCATAAGCCCACTCGTGGTTATTTAGAGATTTAACACCTCCTTCAGGTAAAATCATTCCATTGAACCTGCTTTCGTAACCCACTGCCTCCTCCCGAGTGCAGGGACCATCTGCCACGTGGCGGGAACACCAACTCTCCCTGGCATCGAGGACATGGAGAGGGGAGGTGGGCAGGCAGGTGTGCAGGGATCAGGGCCAACTTCATGCCTTTATATTCACACCTCGCATCCAGAGGCGCTGCCTGCCTTGCTCAGTCAAGAAAGGCTTGTGTGGCACCCGTCATTATCCCCTCTCGGCTCACTTCACCACCTCTAGGCCTGGCAGACACAACCACAAAGTGACTTGACGAGATCTGGGCGTAGGCACATCCATCAAGCTGCCGGCTGCGTCGGCAAGTGGCCTGTTTCCGTAAACATACCGTCTGGTCCAGAGGCCTGCTAGGAGTCGGGAAACAAACACTGAGAATGGCTTCCAAGGAGCTGCCAAAAGGGCAGGTGCGTATTCCTTAAGATTAATCGCCAAGCCAACCAGAAGGAAGGAAACCGCCCCAGGAGAAGCTTTGGCCACATTCCTGCTTTCCCCCTTCCACCCACCACAGGGTCAGACCACCCTCTTGCACTCACAGCCCAAATCTAAATCGACGGTAAGTGCAATAAAATATGACCACCCACGTACCGCCTGCTGGGATGTACGGAGGATGCCTACTTGTGAACCGGTCTTTTAAAAATATTTATCAGTTAATACTCTCCCCCTGCCAATTCCCACCCCTCCTCGCGATGCTTTCTGGATGAAACTGCTCAGAAGAGCCAGCAGGAGATGGCAGTTGGCCTGGGTGTGAGAAAGCTTTGGGACCATTCCCAGTTCTCACCAGGGCTCATGATCAGAATACGCTGTCCCGTGCAGAGAGCCACGTGTAAAAAGGGGGCGTGGAGAAGTTGGACCACAAGCCACCAAGGGATCAAAGGTTTGGAAAAGGAACTGGGGATGACTCCCAGGGGAATGGGTAGGTGGGGGGCAGCTCCATTGTCCCCAAGAACCCAGGCAGCTCCAGAGGGAAACCAGCCTCAGCAGCTGGTAGAGGGGATGGGGAGGGGCCAGGAAGAACTTGCAGAAAGTGAGAGCTGACTTGGGTGAAAGAGCATTTGGTCTGGGGGAGGCTCAGAGCTGGTTCCGGTCTCTCCATGTGACAGGATGTCCTTTTGTCCCTCTGGATCTGTGTCCTGTCTGTCCTGCCCAACCAGGAGGGCATGGCCCAACGGTTCCCTAGGCCCCTCGGC